TATATATATATATTACAGAGTTCTGAAGGAGATAGTGAGATCACACAGGAGGAGGAGGAGGAGGAAAAGAAGAAGAAAAAGAACATAGCTGCATCCACATGTGAAACATATCCTGCTCTGAACTCAAACCGACAGTGGCCTTAAGCTCAGTGTCCACCTTACCTTCTCCTGCAGCTGCTGTGTGATATGAAAACAAGAAGGAGAAGTAGAACAATAGAAAAAATTTTTAAGGAGAAGAAGAAGAAAAATAGAAAAATAAGAAGGAAGAGAAGGAGCAGCTACAGAAAAATGAACACCATAAAAAAGTAGCAGCACCCATGTGTAAAACATGTCCTGCTCCTAGCTCAAATCAACAGAGGCCTTGAACTCAGTGTCCACCTTCTTCTGCAGCTGCTGTGAAGTATGAAAACAGAAAGGAGATGAAAAAAGAATTGAGAAAGAAAAAAAGAAAAGAAGAAGAATAAAAATACAAAAAAAGAAGACAAGGAGTAGCTACGGAAAAATTAACACCCCCAAAAAAGCAGCAGCACCCACGTGTGAAACATGTCTTGCTCCGAGCTCAAATCGACAGCAGCCTTGAGCTCAGCGTCCACCTTCTCCCTCAGCTTCTCCTCCAGCTGCTGCGTGGTGTCCATGCAGTACTCAGCCGTGCACAGGAGGCTGCAGATGCGGCATTGCTCCTCCTCCGTCAGTTTGGTCACCTCCCCTTCCTTCAGGATGCTCTGTATCAGACCTGAGGCTGACGTGATGGTGCCGCTCTCTTTGCTCAGTCTGAGAGGAGAGGAAAAATCATTAAAATCTCAAATACTCCACAGTTGTTGGTAGTATGTCGATGGCAGGATGCAAGACTCTGACAGAGGCCACATTGCAAAATGCCGTTTGTCCGAGTCTTTCACCCAGCCACATATATTCTTGAGTAACATTTGAGAAAACAAAGGGTGATACTCTCCAATATACTTTCATGAGTACAGTATGAGTTGTGCTAAAGGAAGCATCATTATGAGGGCATTTAGAAAAACTAAAAAACTATTTTGTATCTTAAGCTCTATATCAACCATCAGCTTTCCTTCATTGAAAATGATGCCCCCTTGTCAAACGGAAGGAAAACTGAAAAAAGAATGTTTTATCATATAACAAAAGAACCGTGACGCAAAAAAAAACAACAACCAAACAAACAAACAAAAAAACAACCAGCAACAAAAACTGGGGAAAAAACCTGTGACTTACTTGGGCAAATTGGCCAGGAGAATGCGGTGAGCGTACTCCTTCAGATATTTTTGGAATGTTTTGGTCAGGTCAATGAGAGGCTGACCAGTGCTGAGCTGGGAGCACTGGACCATGCACTTCTTGTAGAACACGAACAGGTCAGCACAGCTGGGCAGCACGTTGCTGTTCTCCTCTCCGTCCATGCTGGGCGTGCCATGTGTCTGGATGTCTACCTGGAAGCGGTTGATTAGCTCTGCCAGATTCCTTAAAAATAAAAAGTAAAATCATAATTAAAGAAGAAAAAAAACCCACCTTGTAAGTCATTGTCTACAAGGAAGTGGTTAATCAGCTTTACTAGATTCCTAAAAGTAAAAACAAACTTAATGAAAGAAAAAGTTCTTGCTCATCCGGTAGCTGCTAATCAGCTCTGCTGGATTTCTCAAAAGTTGTTTAAAATTTATAAATGAAAAAAAAAGTGTTTTTGTTAAAGTAAAGAGAAGCACATCCACACAATAATTGCCATTCAGTGCTGGGGAAAAAAGAGATGTTCAGTTTTCGTAAATGTTTGACGGAAAAGAAGGAGCAAACCACACCAGAGTACCTGCCAACCACCCACTACAGAGGAATGATTAAATAGCTCCTGCATGTTAACAGATACACAACAAAAGGATATAAAGATGTTTAAAAAGCAATGGAGGAAAAAAAAGGACATAAAAAGGGTTCAACAATTACAGATTAAAGAAGTCACATACCGATCCTGATTTTCTATGTAAATGTTTAAGTGAGCCTCAAAGCACTGAGAGATTATGCCAGCAAAGGGCGAGACTGCTTCTTGGGATGCCTGTGGAACATATCAGACAAGAAAATAACATGTAATTAGATGTACAGATATATAATACACATATCTATAGATAGCTGAACCTGCTCTATCTACCACCAGTCCAAAATAATCACTTGTACAAATGACCACAGTCCACTTCTTCTTTTGCATTTTTTTATATATCATAATGACACTGTCCAAGACGTCTGTCTCAGACAACCACTTTTGGCCTTAACAACAGGTGGCCGCCTTTGAAATTTTTGACTGCATCTAACTATAGTTAAAATATTTCATTCCAGAAGAAAAGGGCTATGAAATTAAAAGTATAGATACGTTATACGTTTTGGGTTTTGAATTGTTATCTCACTACCCTTCCTGACTTTCTGGGGATAAATGCTTAGTCAAGCAGAAGAATCTAAAATCATATTGACGTTTGGTTGCAAGACTCCCAACAAATACCAAACTGCAAAATGGTGTTTGTTGGGAGTTTTGCACCCACACTGTCCCACACATCTAATTTCCATCAACCACATAATGTGAGTCCGTAAATACAGATTATCTCACTGATTTTTTACCCCAAAAAACCCTCCTTGTACACGATCAGAAGCCACAACCCCTTCAAAGACAGAGTAACGCATGAATATTAATGCTCCGAAGAGCATGAGCCTCGTTCACTTTAGTTATTGTAAACTCACTTTTTCTTTTTTTCACCACATGCTCAGCTCTCCAAATGACCAATTTGATTTGTTCGCAAAAAGAAGAATCAAACTCTTACAGAAACTAAAATGAACAGCTAATATTCTTAAGACAACAGAAAAACACAAAATGAAGTGACTGGTAAATTTTAAAAAACAAACAATAAAACAAAACACAAAATTAATAGACCTTATTATCTTCAGGAACATTTGAATTCTCAGAACCAGGCTGCTCAAATGGATTTGTAGATGGCTCTTCAAAGGGGTTTGTGGAATCTTCCAACTTATTCATTACTGCATTTGATGAAGTCTGTGCCTGAAGTTGTAAGAAAAGACCAGAACAAGGGTACCTGCCATGAAAAATGTTATAGTATAGCTGCTGACAGTGTATGAGCTCATATACAATGTTACATAATACTCTGAAGACAAAAATAATTTATGCATCTCTCTCTCTCTCTCTCTCTCTCTCTCTCTCTCTCTCTCTCTCTCTCTCTCTCTCTCTCTCTCTCTCTCTTCTCCTCCCCCCCCCCCCCCCCCTATTCATACAATCTATCTCATGACATACAGAAAGCATACATTCCGTATGAGATAGAATAAGACAAAAATAACTGTGAATACTCAGAGCAGTACAAAATCTAATCTAGAATGAAACACTGTGACAGAAATAAGACTAAAATGTAAGGATGCTGGAGCAGAATAATGACCTGTGACTTCTGCATGGTGACGCCGGTGAACCGCTTGGCAATCAAAGTCTCAAAGTTGCTGGTCCTCTGGATTGCAAATAAAAGCAGCTTGACATCCAGTTCCATCTGTCGGCGCTGCATCACTTTCGCCAATTCTTTCCTAAAAAATACAAAAAAGAAACACAAAATGTGAGGCAGGTCATTCGTTTTCTTTTGAGTTTAGTTTCAGAGACAGTTTAGTTAGTTCGTAGAGGTTTTACGGTGCTCACAACTGCATAAGGTCATATGAGCGCCAAGGGGAGGATGTCAACAGAGAAGTCCTTACAGGGAATCAGGCTTACTCTGCTCAACTCTCTAGCTTCAACAGCACAAAGTCTGCTTCGAATATCAAGGCACCCTGGAAATAGCGGGGCACAAGAGTGTGACAAACAAACAAAAGAAGAAGAGGGAAAAATGTCTATAGTAAGGATTAGAAAAGAAAAAGCAGCAGTTCCCTGTTGCAGTTCAGGCAAGATATGAGCATGACATTGATGAATCAGCCCATTTACAAGTCTACTGTGCATAAGAACAAGTCAATGTCCACCCTTTGGGAATGGCCTAAAGACACTTCAGTTCGTAGTACCACCCCAGGGTGTTATAGAGACAGTTTTAAGGCATTTGCAGCACAAATATTTCATATAAGAAGTGTCCAAGATAAAAAGTGTTACTGGAGAGTAACATACAAAGAAAAGAAAGAGGAGATATATATCTGGGTAATAGATTTTGCTAGGAAAGGAAATGCAGAGCAAACCACACATCATTTTTCAGCAATTAAAAAAAAATCTAATGAGGCAGGCAAATGACAAGATCCCTACATCCCCCCCCCCCCCCCCCCCCCCAAGACAGGTTAACAAGCATCGTAGCCGATATGCTTAATCACTTCCTACAGGGACAAACAGAGACTTTCTTCTTCTTTTTTTCTTCCTCGTTCTCGATAACAGAGACTGAAATCCTCTTTCTCATCCTCCTTCTTGAATCTCTCAAGTTTTTTAAAGAAAACATGACACCAATATTCTCATTTGCATGACAACACACTTCGCTACCTCAGAACTACAAAGCTCCGTCTCCTCAGTATCTAGTTATGAGAAACGAAAAAGATTTTGAGTTTCACATCACATCAAGCTTTTTTCAACGCAATTCTTTGAATATCTTGATCACAACTCAGAATAATCTTATGATTTTGATAACGCAGATAGAACATTTGGTTCCTGACCTCATGGTCCTAATTAGTTACTCAAAAGGGCAAAAAATGTCAGATAGAACTCTCAGTACCTAGTTTGGAGAAATTTGACATCAAAGATTTCAAGTTTCACATCATATCAAGCCTTTTCGAATGCAATTCTCAGAATATCATGATAATGACTCAAAAAAATCTTTCGATTTTGATAGAGCAGATAGAACATTTGGCTTCTGACCTCATGGTCTCAGCAACTCAAAACAGCCAAAAATGTCAGATAGAACTTTGTAATTTTGAGTAGCGACTTGTCTTTGACACTCACAAAATTTTCCCAAGTTCATGCACAAAACTAGTATGAATCAATTTGTTTTCATTTCAGAATAATAATAAGTAAATAGTAACAAAACCATTAATTCAGTGTATAACAAAGACAATATAGTGTATAACATTGACAATATAGTGTATAACAAAGACAATATAGTGTATAACATTGACAATATAGTGTTTAACATAGACAATATAGTGTATAACATAGACAATATAGTGTATAACATAGACAATATAGGGTATAACATAGAAGACAGTATACCTTTATTATCGCTACAAAACTTCACTTTAGTCCCCTTTACTTCGCTAACAAAACAATTGAGAACATCACATGTACCTCGTCGACATTGTCACACATTACACTAAATCTGAACTTTCTGTCATGCTTACCGTGTCAAATGGCAAAACTCGACACAAATTCGCTCACTCACTTCCCAGTCAGGAGGAAAAAGGTGACCAAACTTCTCCTCAAAGTCGACTAACGCTCTCTTGATCCATGCGTAGCGTCTATCAATTTTGTCTAACCAAGCAACCTGAAAACAAATTTTTTAAAGCGAAAACTCTTAGAGTTCGTCTTTCGTTTTAGTTAGATTTTTACTGCACTTGCAACATAATTAGGTCATATAGGAGCCGAACATTAGAGCTGCAATAAGAGAATAACAAACATATAAAAGAAGGAGGAGAGATAAAAAGATGATAAGATGTTTGATACAAAAGAAGAAGGAAACCAGAGCATCCGCCAACCACTCACACTCTTAGTCTTTGCTACTTTCATCAAAACACTAATCTTATTATGACAGTCTCAATAGGAGTGGGGTTTTTATGACTTTGCAGACAAGGGATATCCTTATAAGCTCTAATTATATAAGGTGCAAACAAGAATCAGAGAGTGTTTTTAATTACAACAAATCTTAAACACAACCTTGTGTTTGCTGAAACATTAATGTCTTCCCAGCATGGGCATTGTGATAGTCTTATCAGGATGGTGTCTAGACTCTAACCCCCCTACCAGATGAACAAGAAATCAATTTTTTTAAAATAGTTTAACAACAACTACTTTGTAAAAGACAGTAAGTCAAACATTGAATTAATATAAATAAAAACAATGATTTCATACCTACGTCATTATCGCAAGATTCTAACACCAAATGCCACTGACACAAACTATCTACAAGCTAACGATACTTACGTCTTGGTCTTCTGCAAAGAGAACAACGTACTCTGAGAGCTGCAGCTTGACAAACCAGTTCAACAGATCCCGTTTCACTTTAGGGTCAAGGATGTCCACAACCAAGCAAGCGTCATGCAGCTGTTTCTGATTGCTGGGCCCATACTGCAGTGGAATAATGGTATTTTCAATTTTCTTACTGTCTTGATCAATGTAATGGAGAGAGAGAGAGAGAGAGACAGACAGACAGACAGACAGACAGACAGACAGACAGACAGAGAGAGACAGAGAGAGACAAAGAGAGACAGATGGAGGAAGGGAGGGAGAGAGAGAGAGAGAGAGAGACAGAGAGAGAAAGACAGAGAGACAGGGAGGACGTGTGAAGAGAGAGAGAGAGGGCAGGAAAAAATTCCTCTTTCATGACGCCCACAAAGAATTGGGGCTGAGTTCGAGGCTACGATTGTTGACAACCCGTGGTAAAAAACACAGTTTGAGCTGCACTTATGACGTCATCTCTTTGAGCGCACTGTACTTTTTAAATCTGTTTGTCTGTCTGTCTGTCTGTCTGTATGTCTGTCTGTCTGTTCTTCAGATATATTCTCATTCCCAAATTATCCATCTATCTCACTGTCTATCTCACTGTCTATCTCACTATCTATCTATCTCACTATCTATCTCACTATCTATCTCACTATCTATCTCACTATCTATTTATCTATCTATCTATCTATCTATCTATCTATCTATCTATCTATCTATCTATCTAT